TTAATATTTTTATGCGGCATGATACCTCTAAACTAGATAGTGTAAACATGGGAAATGCTTGCTGTAGGGAGGAAATTCTGCAAAATTAAATACGGACAACGATTTTTTTATTTGTGTCAGCGGACTTTACGAAAAATGAAACCGTGTTTAAAAATGTTAACCATAAAAAAATAACTTGCTGTATTTGAACGGTAGATCGAATATTGAATGGAGCTAACAGTAGCAGTATTTCTGGTCAAAATGTTACTGACAGTGCTGGAGCTCCAGCTACAGTAAATAATGGAAGTAATTTTATTTTATCAACGACCGGAAAAAATCAGTCCCCGTATGTTGGAACCATCTCTGGTAACAGTGCTGGTACAATACTTCCATATTTATCATTTGCATCGAAACCTGGTTTCAATTCTACTGACGTTATTGGCTATCCTTCTAGTACCAGCGGTGGCGGAGTAACAAAAGACAGTAATATTGTTTCTGCTATTACCTCAACGCTTTTCACTAAGCCATTAACGCATAGCGTATCATTTACTGAAAATTCTCAAATTTCACCGCTCGCTCAAAGTGTTCACAAAACCATTTATTCAACAAGTGCCTTGAAGCGTGTTTCATTAACTGATATAACAAACGGAAGATTACTCGATGGTCATGAGAATAGATCTGCGGTAGTGACGACTGACTCATCACCAGAGAAAGGAGGCACAGGAAAACGTAGTAGTTTTCGCAATGCATCTCCAATGTTTTCTTGGACATCATGGTATTTTCGTGGTTCGAAGGGCTTTCCCGACTCGTCATCTTTGTCGTCGTCGGAATACCCAGGACATACACGTTATGGTTGTGGACCAGGTATATTTCATCGTCCTTGCCATAGCAGTTCCGATGGGTCATGGGAACTACACTGGCCACATCCAACCAAATTTACCAAAAAGCCGTCGAGTTACACGTCTCCACAACATTCAGCTGTGACGGTACCTACAGTAACTAAAATACGTAAGTTAAATTTTGCGTAGAAATATAAAAATGTTATTATCTGCTGAAACAATAAAAAGCTTGAAAAAAAAAAACAAAACAAACTCGATAACAAATAGGTCAAATGAAAAATAAAAGTTTTAACTTGAAGGCATCTCTCAAATTAAGTTTTTTTACGTACTAAGTTTGACCAAGTCTTGGTTTTGCGCTGACACTGTTTGATTCAATAAACTGAATTTCTCATCTTCAGCGTCTGGATGCCCTAAACTGAAAATCTGCATAGATAACTCACAATTACCTGAACAAAATCATTCTGCATTGCACAGTGATCAACCCGTGGGAACAAGAGTAGTTCACGTTTGTGCAGCAAAATATGTGTTTTCTAAAAGTCTTCAACCGATCAACGTATATGTTTGCGAAGAAGACGGTTTTTGGAGTGGTATCAACAAAAACGAGCATTGCACAAGTAAATTGATGAAATGTGAAATTTTTTTTTTAAATTTTTTAGGCAGTCTTGATTTACTGGACATAGTAAGTAGCTGAAATATAGTAAGATTATTTAAGCAAAAAAATCTGCTATTGTTATTGTTATCAGTAGTAATGGTAATAATACAAACAATAACAGCAGTAATAGTAATAGTTGTAGTTATAGTTATAGTAATTGTGATTATCAATAGTAGTAGTAAAAATAATAATAATAATAATAATAATAATAATAATAATAAATAATAATAATAATAATAATAATAATAATAATAATAATAAGACAATAATAATAAATTAATTTTGAGATTTTTCGGAATCAGCAGTGATAGTAATATTAAAAATAACAATAATATCACTGTTACTAATATTTTTATTTTTATCTTGTATTATTTTTGTTACATGGCAAATCGAGTTGAAGAATCTTTTTTATAGATGTTGAAAATTTCAGAACCATAATAAAGGAAGTTTAATTGCTATTCAGCGCTGTATAAGCTCGTTTTGTCCTGTGGAACATCAGTCAACTGCTAATTGATAACAACGGAGTATCCGAGAAACAATCAGCTGTTTTACAGTGTCATCTTCCTTCTCTTTCCCTTGGACAATTTTACTTTTGTTATCTTTTCACAAAATACTGAACTGTTCAAGCAAGCAACAAATTTTTTCATTCTCAATCTATTTTCTATTTTCAGTTTTAATATATTACTCATCAAATGTGATTTGGTTTTATAGATAGAACAAAAGCGCGTATAGTAGCGCTTTAGAAAACCAATGCCATTTTAGTTGACAACTATTTTGACCAAAAATTCTTTGCTTTTTCTGGGGCTGTTTATACCAACTATTCTTTTTATTCTTTCTTTGTTCTTTTCCTTCTGAACTCTTTCTTCGTTCAGTTTTTCTAACTTAAATTATAGTTTTAATTTTAAGAAATTTTGGTTCTAAAATGTTTTTAAAAATGCCGAAAATGTCCTTTTTTTTTTTGTTTTCTTGTAGAAATAAGTAGGAGGAGGTCAGTTCTTTTTATTGTAAGTAACTTAAGTTTTTTTTAAAAAATTGAATAAATTTGACAACTGCGAATGGCAGTTAGAGTTTTTTATGGTTTTTGACTGAAATGCAGTAATAGAGAAAAGAAACAAGTGCTAAAGGATTTTTAGTGATTAGATAACGGTTACTATAAAAAAAAAAAGATTTTTATCTTTACTTTTACTTTCTGTTATGTGGAATAACAGTTTCATATTTGAATAGTTTTTATTTCTGAAGAAAGTGTAGAAGAGAGGACAGGAAAAAAGTTTAAAACTCAAAAGAGCGAAAAAGAAGAAAGTATTGGTAATATTTGGGACTAATGGGAAAAAAAGTGCTATTATTCTGACTTTTTTCTGTTTTGTAAAAACTGCAAAGGCATCCAGAACTAAATATTCAAACTAAACGTCTTCTCTCTTTTCACCTAACTCACAGATAAGGAGTTTAAGAAGTGGTTCGATGAGACTTCAGTTGTGATGTCAAAATCACACTTTTTTGTAGTCAAAATCAGGATGAAATTTGAGATACTAAATATGATGGCTGAAGAACTCCAGTTTTTTTGTAGAAGAAGTGAGCAGAAAGAAGAGTGAAGTTGAGAAAATAGCAGAAGGTTGTTGAAGGGAAGAAGGAACGATGATGGAGGATGATGGGTAATCTAGAATCAGTCTAAAAGTTTGATAACTGTATTTTTGTAACAATTATTAGGAAGTGCTCATTTATAATTGCTGATAGATATAGCTGTCTGTTGAATTTCTAAGCACCATTGTCATTATTATCATCACTTTTTACGGATTGAATTTATTTGTCGGGTAAACTTCCAACTAAATTGTTTTCTTCTTTTTTTTTTTTTTTTTTTTTTTT